TGAAAATTTACGTAAAGGATTCATCAGACCCTCGACCTCCCCGGCTGCCTCTAGTATATTCTTTGTGAGGAAAAAGGACCAAACCATCCGTCCCATTATAGATTACAGAGCCTTAAATAAAATAACCATAAAAAATCGTTATCCTCTTCCTCTAATAAATGAATTACTTGAAAGATTAAGGACTGCAACTATATTCACTAAACTCGACCTCCGAGGAGCATATAACCTCATTAGAATAAAACAGGATGATGAATGGAAGACCGCCTTCCGGACTAGATATGGTCTCTACGAATATCTAGTGATGCCTTTTGGGCTTTGTAATGCCCCTGCAACATTTCAACATTTTATAAATGATATCTTTAGAGATCTTTTGGATGTCTGTGTTATTATCTATTTAGATGATATCTTAATATATTCTAACAATTTGGATGAACATAGGAAGCATGTAAGATGGGTTCTATCTAGACTGAGAACTCACAAATGATACGCTAAACCAGAGAAATGTCTTTTTGAAGTTACTAAACTCTCCTTTCTTGGATACATTATTTCACCTCATTCTCTGAAAATGGATAACTCCAAAATCGAATGTATTATTAACTGGCCCGTTCCTACTACTACAAAAGAATTGCAACGATTTCTTGGATTTGCAAACTTCTATAGGAAATTTATTAGAAACTATTCAGAGGTATCTCATCCACTTAACCTTCTTAACAGTACAAACGTCCTTTCAAGTGGAGTAAAGATGCACAAGCTGCCTTTGACAGATTAAAAAAAAGATTTACAACTGCACCTATTCTACAACTACCTAATCCAACATTCTTATATGTCCTTGAAGTCGATGCATCAGATACAGCTATCGGAGCAGTTCTTTCTCAACAAAAGACTCCTCAAGATCCACTTCATCCAGTTGCCTTCTTCTCAAGATCCTTGAGCTCTGCTGAAAAAAAATTATCCTATTGGTGAAAAAGAATTATTAAGTGTTAAAGCTGCCTTCGAAAATTGGCGTCATCTTCTAGAAGATACAAAACAACCTATAATAGTTTATACAGACCATAAAAATCTTGAATATCTCTATACTAACAAAACCCTTACGGCTAGACAAGTTAGATGGAACCTATTTTTTAACCGATTTAACTTCCAATTAATATACAGACCTGGAACAAGGAATAAAAAGGCTGACGCTCTTTCTCGAATTCCTTCTAAAACTACTATTGATGTTTATCCCCCTAACAAAATAATAGGGATCCTCTCTTCTCTTCAGGATGACAAAGAATTTGAATCACAAGGATCTTGAACTTCCCAAAACGCCTAATTTGACAAAACAGGATGGTATATTTTACTTTAAAAATAGAATTTATATTCCTCCCATTCTTAGGAACAAATTACTTAAGATGGTTCATGATTCACCCCTAGCTGGACATCCTGGAATAAAGAAAACTCTTGAACTAACTTCACGATATTATTGGTGGCCTCGCCAAGATAAAACCATTGAATTATATGTCAAAACTTGTCCTATCTGTCAAAGGTCCAAATCTGAACATAATCAACCTTTCGGATTACTACTTAACTTACCCATTCCAGAAAAACCTTGGCAATCCATTTCTATGGATTTTCTCGTTGACCTTCCACCATCTCGACATTTCACCACTATTCTTGTTGTTGTGGACCGCTTCACAAAAATGTCCCATTTCATCTCTTTAAAAAAATTACCCTCCTCCGTAGAATTGTCCAAAGTCTTTATTGATAATATTATAAAACTCCATGGTCTTCCAGAAGAAATTATTTCTGATAGGGGGACACAATTTACCTCCAAATTCTGGAAGGAGATGTGTCTCTCTCTTCAAATTCAACGCAAACTCTCTTCCGCCTATCATCCCCAAACTAATGGGCAAACAGAGAGAGTTAATCAATGTTTGGAACAATATCTCCGATGTTATTGTTCATACCTGCAAGATGACTGGACCACATGGTTACCTATGGCTGAATTTTCTTACAACAATACCATTCATTCTAGTACGAAAATGACTCCTTTCTTCTCCAACTATGGTTTTCATCCGTCCTCATTTCCCATCCAAACTATTACTTCATCCAATCCTACGGTTACATCAAAAAATGAATTTATGTCCTCTCTATTCCTCAAATTACGGGAGAATCTTCAACTCGCCAAAACTACCAGAAAAAGTTTTTTGACAATAAAAGAAGAATTCCCCCTCCTTACAAAGTAGGGGATCTTGTCTGGCTCTCTTCAAAAAATATTACCACAAACCGTCCTTCAAAGAAATTGAGCTCTCTTTTTCTTGGTCCTTTTCAAATAATTACAATTATCAATGATAACGTTGTTAAATTAAAACTTCCTCCAAGTTTTAAACTTCATCCAGTATTCCATGTCTCTCTTCTTAAACCACACATCCCTGATCCTTTTCATAGGGAAATAGTTACAACTCCTGAACCTATCATCGTCCAAGGCGGGGGAGGGGAGGCCAGGGAGCAAGGGCCCAGGCACACCAGGACAACCGCCCCTCCATCCCCCTCAGGACCTACTCCATGAAATACACAAGATTTTGGATTCACGTGTCCACCGTGGCACCTTACAATACCTTATTAGATGGAAAGGTTATGGAGTTGATGAAGATACTTGGGAAGATTCATCTAATGTTCATGCAAAAAGATTAGTTGATGCTTTTCACAAACGCTATCCCTCTAAACCCAAGTAAGTGCACCCAGAGGATGCCCCATGAGAAGGGGGTACTGTCAGGTATACTCTATCATTCATGCTGCCGCCGGAACCCACTTCCGGGTTCACAGCGCTTAGCCCCGCCCCTTTCTCTGACGCGGTCCTTCCACGATACTTAGGAAGACCGCGCCAGATTCAAAGGGCTGGATTATTCACTCAGGTGCTGCATTGAGATCAGCTGCTCTACTTGATGCTACCGGCTCCACTCCTCTCCGGACCTCGGCTTGTAAACAGATTTCTACCTTCTCCACTTCTCGACCTCGGCTTGTAAAACGGACTTCTACCTTCTCCACTCCCAGACCTCGGCTAGTAAAAACGGACTTCCTTACTCTCCACTCCTAACGCACAGCTTATTAATAGAGACTCCTAATTTCTCCTCCATTGGGTGAATTAACCCTTCCATTGCCAGAACTGCCTCTAAGTTAAGTAAACCTTTTTGCCAAGGAAACCAATTCATATTAATTAATTTATACAGTATTTAAATTTCACTAAAATTCTCTCTTGTCAATAAGGGATTGCTACTAAGTCTAATTCTTCCTGCAAATATCAATTTATTCTAATTGCAAGCCTGTCCAGCTTCATTAACATAATTTTCATAAATCATTCCATCTTAATTAAGTTGGAACTAGCATTGCATTTCTTCCCTGCATGTGTATTTAAAGATACAGTCAACCTTGTTCACTTCAATATAAAAGGAGGTGAAACTTATTGTTTCTGCAGTTGAGTTCCAATTAAAGAAGTATTACAAATAAGTATCACAAGTGCTTAGGCGGCCCCGGGCCCCAGCCCGGGAGGCGGGGGAGGGGAGGCCAGGGAGCAAGGGCCCAGGCACACCAGGACAACCGCCCCTCCATCCCCCTCAGGACCTACTCCACCTTCTCCCTACTCCCTCCCCCCCCCCGACCTCACACCCACCTCGGTCTATTTCCTAGGTTCCGTTCCGTCCTCCCCCATCTCCCCACCGGGACCCATCCCACGGCTCCCACACTCTTTGAAAAGTCCTGGAGGTGCCCCTAACCCTAGCCGTAAGATCATCCATCACCCGCATGTCTTTAGTCCTCTATCACACTCATAATCTGCGGTAACTCCTGTCTCGCTGCTAACGTGATCTTATGGAGTAGCCGTTGCTACCTTCGCGTCCATCCCTCAACTGATCTGCTTAGGAGGTATACCCATGGATCTAACGTGGGTGCCCTAGAAAACACCTGTCGCACCAGGTTATGCACTTCCCCCCAAAACTGCCCTACTCTGGGGCATTCCCACCACATGTGGTAATACGTTCCCTTAGCCCCGCAGCCCCTCCAACACAAATCCGACGTTTTATGCATTTTGTACAGGGTAACAGGGGTGGAGTACCAGCGAAACAGTGTTTTAAACGCTTGCTCATGGTGCCGTACGCAGACTGAGGAGGTGTTATTCGCCTCCCATACCTCCTGCCATTCAACCCCCTCTAGTTCTTCTCCCAAGTCCTTTTCCCATCTCTCGGTATATGCTAAGCCCCCCCATTCCCCAGACTTCGTGCAAAAGTGCATATACAGTGTGGAAATCAGTCGTCTGGGTATGTTTTCTGAAGAACACATGCGCTCACAAAAGGTCAGAGGTTTTATCGCTGCTTCCTTTATATGTGGTTGGGCTGCAAAATCTCTGATCTGTATATAGCGGGAAAAAATCTGTCAGTGTCAGATGCCTGCCCTGTCGAAGCTCATCGAATGAAACTATTTCGGCACCCCGATATAAGTGGTGAAGCCTCTGTAGACCCACTCTTTCCGAAAATTTCGCGCCTCTACCCCTAGATAAAAAGCTTTATTAAGTAAGATGGGCGCCAGGGGAGACGGATAGGACGCCAACCCATATTTTGTCCCATAATTGTCCCACAACCTGAGGGAATTCGCCACCGCAGGACATGCTGCCCTGGTCAGGAGTCTATTCTCCCTTGGGGTCCACGTGACAAGTTGGGGTAGATCTATCCCTGACATGAGCGTCTCGATTTCCACCCACTTCCGCTCGTCTAGTGGTGAATGCCAGAGCGCCATCTGGGACATTTGGGCCGCTAAATAGTAGAAAAACAAATTCGGAAGTCCCAGGCCCCCTCTCCGTTTAGAGCGGTACAGGACATATCTCGAAACCCGTGATCTTTTATTTTGCCAAATAAAACGACCAATAGCTTGTTGGATTGGTGCCAATTGGGCCTTCGACAAGTGTATGGGTATTGCCTGGAACATAAACAGTATCCTAGGGAGGACATTCATTTTTATAGAGTGGATTCGGCCTATCCATGATACGGGCTTATCCAGCCATGTTTCTAAGTCTTTGAATATGGTTCTCCACAAGGGCGCAAAATTGCGGGCGTACAGGGCACCTGGATCCGCAGTAAGGCTTATCCCCAAATATTTAAGGGCCTCTCGCTCCATCTGTATGTTGTATGTACGGTGTATGTTTTCTATGTCAGATTGGGTCATGCTGATCGGGAGGGCGCTGGATTTGGCCATGTTGGCCTGATAGCCCGAGAGTTACCCATACTTCCGCAACCTCTCCCCCAAGGCCCCCTCCGGATCCGTCAATGTCAAGAGGACATCGTCCACATATGCCGCTGCCACAAACTCTTTCCCCCCCACTCTAACCCCCTGTATGTTGGGGTCCTGCCGAATTGCCTGCATCACCGGCCCTGACAAACAATAATGGGGACAGGGGACACCCCTGTCTAGTGCCGTTGTGCAGGCAAAAGGGTACAGGGGCCGCACCCGAGATCTGAACATGGGCTCTCACGTTACTGTACATTGCTTCCTTATAATTATACACGTGCCAGATAGCACAAGAATTCCAAACACATTGCAGGCAGGGGGAGAGGCGGGGGAGGTGACAACTCAGGCACAGTAGAGCTTGGTGATACTTGGCTAAGTTTGGCAATTTGGATTAATTTACAAAAATGCAGAGTTTAGTTAAAGGGACACTTATAGTCACCTTAACAACTTTATCTTAATGAAGCAGTTTTGGTGTAAAGAACATGCCCCTGCAGCCGCACTGCTCAATCCTCTGCCATTAAGGAGTTAAATCCCCTTGTTTATGAACCCTAGTCACACCTCCCTGCATGTGACTTGCACAGCCTTCCATAAACACTTCCTATTTAGGCTTTCTTTATTGCAAGTTCTGTTTAATTAAGATTTTCTTATCCCCTGCTATGTTAATAGCTTGCTAGACCCTGCAAGAGTCTCTTGCATGTGATTAAAGTTCAATTTAGAGATTGAGATACAATTATTTAAGGTAAATTACATATGTTTGAAAGTGAAACCAGTTTTATTTTCATGCAGGCTCTGTCAATCATAGCCAGGGGACGTGTGGCTAAGGCTGCATAAACAGAAACAAAGTGATTTAACTCCTAAATGACAGTGAATTTAGCAGTGAAATTGCAGGGGAATGATCTATCCACTAAAACCGCTTTATTTAGCTAAAGTAATTTAGGTGACTATAGTGTTTCTTTAATAACCCTGATTGACCATGGCTGTTCATGTCATGGCCAGGATATATGAACTGAAAGAAGAAATAATCAAAACAACCTCCAACAGTATTTTTTTTTCTTACGGTCAAGAATCCTTTCAGGAGTAGGGAGTGAACAATCTCTGTTTGCTAAAAATATTATTTAAAGCAATACATGCATAGTGAAACTTGCTGGTGAATCATATCCTTTATAATTATTTTGCTGGACTCCATTAACAAAATTTGTATGATAGCTATGCTTCGCTTTACAGAACTATTGGGAATTACCCCCATATAATTTATTTTCCATCAGAACCTAACTTGAAAAGCTGTAAAAAAAAATTTTTAAAACGGTCAACATTCTATTTCCACCTTGTTTTACATTTTACTCAGGATAATGCATATACTTTAACATTCATGGATTTGTGGCACTATGTTAATACAGGCTGGCTAAATTTAAGTCTCTTACAGCACTAACTAAATCCATGTGGGCTTCCCAATTGTGTGCCATGGTGAATGATATTGGTCAAGCTGTTTAAAGTTGCATTACATTTGTCAGATCCCAGATATTCCTTTATCAAAACACACAAAGAAGCCCAGCTTGATTTAGGAAATATTTCATTCACATGTTAGCAAGTACAATTATCCACACAAGGAAGGAAATAGTTTTGTGTACAGGTCATAGTTAAATTCATTTTACTACAATACAACCTTTAAGGCCATACTCTGCTACTTATAGTACTTGTTTAAGCCAGAACAGTATATAAAATATTTAAACTAAAAAACGTAGTTGTTAGATTATATATTAAATACTATATCACATTTATTGTACAATTCACACAAAAAAAAAATAAAAAAAATTTATATATATATATATATATATATATACACACACACACATACACACACACGTCTTTAAAAAATACAGTCAGACTTTTTTCCTTGTTCTCACATTGATTGGCGTTACAGAAGATAAATCCAGTTTAACTTTCTTGCTTTTTTCATTGATTTCTTTCATTGTTACTTGAAGCTTCTTGGAGGTTTGAGTCATAAAGGCAAAGCTTTCTTTCAAATCAATGTTTCCATGCTCTCTGCAAATTGTATCAAGGCCATCAAACCAAGCAATGACCTTTTCCAGTTCAGCCTGGACTGCTTTCTGCTCTTCCAACTCAGCTAAAAGGGACTGAGTGGCAAATGTTTCAGCTTTATACTGCTTCTGTAACAGCTCGGTTTCATTTTGAAGCTGTTTAAGTTGTTCTGCACTGTATGGGTATAGTGTATGGACCTTATCTTCAGGCAACACAACATTCTTGGGCACCTGCAAAACCAGCCGTAAAATACATTTTTCCATTTTCTGGAATAGGTGATTGAAGCGTTCATTTACAAACTGCAGATACTTTTCAGTGCTCTCTCGGATATGGAATTTACTAATCCTGTGGCCAGGGATGCTCTCCAGCTTCTTCAATATGACTCTTTCCACAACTAAAAGCATTTCAAATAAATAGTCTTGGAATGTTATATACAACCGGAGTATGCAGGTCTGGGGTGTAAATTCAAAAAACTGCGTCTCATAGCACATCGGGGCAACAGACATTTTTTTTCGTTTTCAAAGGTAACCTAGCCGAAAAAAAAAAAAAAAAAACATAAATTGCATTGACAGTGACTTTTCTTTTTAAATGTTAACTCAAAAAGATCAATTAATTAAAGAAAACAAATATGGTTTACTCCAAAACACACTGCTTAAGGGGTAAGCATGAATTTACAGTTAACTACACAACGAATAAAGTCAAAAACCACGATAACATTTTGTCATGTGATGCTTCATTTTCATGCAACTTCAAGCATTTGTTTCTAGATCTAAATATGCTTGTTTATATTTAATTTACACTTACAAATGCTGTTCTAAACTTACAGATACAGACACACACACATACACACACTTATACATACATACACACACTGCTCAAAAAAAATAAAAGGGAACACTTAAACAACACAATGTAACTCCAAGTCAATCACACTTCTGTGAAATCAAACTGTCCACTTAGGAAGCAACACTGAGTGACAATCAATTTCACATGCTGTTGTGCAAATGGGATAGACAACAGGTGGAAATTATAGGCAATTAGCAAGACATCCCCAATAAAGGAGTGGTTCTGCAGGTGGTGACCACAGACCACTTCTCAGTTCCTATGCTTCCTGGATTATGTTTTGGTCGCTTTTGAATGCTGGCGGTGCTTTCACTCTAGTGGTAGCATAAGACGGAGTCTACAACCCACACAAGTGGCTCAGGTAGTGCAGATCATCCAGGATGGCACATCAATGCGAGCTGTGGCAAGAAGGTTTGCTGTGTCTGTCAGCGTAGTGTCCAGAGCATGGAAGCGCTACCAGGAGACAGGCCAGTACATCAGGAGACATGGAGGAGGCCGTAGGAGGGCAACAACCCAGCTGCAGGACCGCTACCACTGCCTTGACCGGTTTGGCAGTGGGTCAGTAATGTTGTGGGGTGGCTTTTCTTTGGGGAGCCGCATAGCCCTCCATGTGCTCGCCAGTGGTAGCCTGACTGCTATTAGGTACCGAGATGAGATCCTTAGACCCCTTGTGACACCATATGCTGGTGCGGTTGGCCCTGGGTTCCTCCTAATGCAAGACAATGCTAGACCTCATGTGGCTGGAGTGTGTCAACAGTTTCTGCAAAACGAAGGAATTCATGCTATGGACTGGCCCGCCTGTTCCCCAGACCTGAATCCAATTGAGCACATCTGGGACATCATGTCTCGCTTCATCCACCAATGTCACGTTGCATCACAGACTGTCCAGGAGTTGGCAGATGCTTTCGTCCAGGTCTGGGAGGAGATCCCTCAGGAGACCATCCACCACTTCATCAGGAGCATGCGCAGGCGTTGTAGGGAGTTCATACAGGCACGTAGAGGCCACAGACACACACACACACACACACACACACACACTACAGAGCCTCATTTTGACTTGTTTTAAGGACATTACATCAAAGTTGGATCAGCCTGTAGTGTGTTTTTCCACTTTAATTTTGAGTGTGACTTCAAATACAGACCTCCATGGGTTGAAAAATTTGATTTCCATTTTTTTATTTTTGTGTAAAGAACAAACTTTTTCAGAAGAATATTTAATTCATTCAGATCTAGGATGTGTTATTTTTGTGTTCCCTTTATTTTTTTGAGCAGTGTATATATATATATATATATATATATATATATATATATATATATATATATATATATATATATATATATATATATACACACACTGCAATTTACATTTGTTAATCATCCTCTGCTCCCATAACTTTTGTTTGCATGAAGGTGAATTCCTGGGGCTGGCTGATGATGATGATGGGAGTCTGAAGGAGAAGCCTCCTCCTCCTCCTCTCTGTTGCCTATTCAGTGTCCTGTCAGCCTGCACGGTTGGTATGCTGGAAGGAAGTTCCTCCCAGCACTCTCCGCAACATTAAAAAAGAAAACCGAATGTGCCAACCAGCTCTGAACCACCTGGACAACCACCCACCACACAAGCCAACTCCAACCAACCATTCAACTGAAGTTCACAGCTGCGGCAATGCATCAAGCCTCAACATGGCGGCAGGGCGGGATACAGGCCTCGCGGGGAAGCACAGCTGCTCCTCTGCAAAAGGGTAAATACATACCTCTGAGTCACCCACCATGGTCCTCAGCTGTACTAGCAGCCATAGCTTCACTCTGGCAGAGAATCAAAAACCACATGACCCTCCAGCACAAGCGGAGCATAGGCAGACCTCGCAAGTTGGTGCTCTCGAGGGGAACTCCAAGCCGGGCAGGAGTCCAGTACCAGTCCAATTGGCCACATAGCATACAGCTTGCTTCTTTATTACATAACTGTGCACTACCCTTGGAGGTTATAGGCTGAACAGGACACTGGGACTGAGCGGAGAGGTGAATCTGTTCATGTTAAGCATCTTCTCCCCAATATGAGCGATGATTTTATTTTTCATTCGTGTGTTTAGCATTTAGTTAATCTCCTTCGTAATGCAGAACTATGACAGTGACCCAGATCAGTGGCTCCTCATTCATGCAATACTACTACGTCTAGCGATATTTTACTGTGACTTAACCCACATGCCTAGCTAGCCTCTTTAATTCAAGGTAAACGTGTTTTCCTGCCTAGACATGTGGAACTAGCCTGTTCCCACTCGTATATTAATTTTCAGTTATTTTACTCTCACCTAGCGTAGCACATTTACAACTATATTAATTACATAACCTTGTGTAGTCAGATTCTGGGATAGGAATGATTAGCCCAACTCTGTAATGTATAGTCCTAGCCTGATCGTTACTCTCATTGTGACTACTAGGTGAAGCCCATCTGTGAGCCAAGCTATTGTTTCCCTTTGTTTTCTCTGAAACTTAAGATATAATCCTGTTCATTTCCCGGTTTAAAAAAACCAAAACAAAAACAGTGCAATGTTTTCCTATAATGCCATGTCATTAAATGTGAATACAAACCTGGTTGCATCAGCTGCTGTGGCAGTGCAAACCCACATGTTTAAACTCTGCACGACAAAATACAAAATAAAAAAAATAAAAAAATAATTTTTTTTAAACTATTTACAAAATTGAAATTTAAGGAAAAGATTGTAGATAAATGAAAAACAAACAAAACTTGCACACATCTTGTCATCTTCACTCTATGGATACTTTAGTGTTATGCTGCCCAGATGGGAAAGTAAAGTCACATCATTATTAATATATTTTATTAGTTTGGAATAAAATGTATGCGTTACATCACTGGTAAATTCCTTGTTAATGGGCTCTTTTCCTATAAAATCAGATGAAATGTTAATTTCTGCAAATTTGTTCTCTTTATGCCATCTAGTGACAGAAACTATAACAAGTGTTTTGGTTATAATCATTTAGGGACATCTAAGGGACAAAGAAGAAACAGAATAGCATTACTTAAATCGGATATATAAAAAGGACTAAAAAACCAAAAACAAAAACTCCTATGTTTTGCAACCTTTACGAGTTACAGCACAAAAACAGCACTACTTCATAGACTTAAACACCAACACAACCCTCTTTCTGTTATTGTTATTGTAAAAACCGCAAAATTGAAAAAAAAAGTTTAAATACCTCTAATATGGTAAGAAAACGTGTTTTCCAATGTGACTAATTGGGGGCCACACCTGTGTACAACACATGTTCAAAAGCCTGATTCTGGGGGCAGGGCATACTGCCAAGATGGGCAGACGTGTTTCTTCACACCTCCAGCACAGTCAAAATTCATTTGAGCTGTAAATGCTAAAACCGTGCTGGATCTGGTCTGCACATACGGTGGACCGACACTGGATCGTGAGAGTATTTGTGAATGTTCCTTCGACACCAATCAGTTGAGAATTTGCACAATCCGACCATGCCCGAAGGAGGCGGCCGATGCCCCGACACTCTTCTGTAGCCCTGCAACCCTCCCCCTCTGGAACGGCGAAGGTTATCCTGGTCCCCACTAGGGAAACTTACCTCTCTGTATCAGCGGAGTCTTATGCCTACTCAGAGGCCTTGTGACAGTCCTAAACTAGCCGACACGCCACAGCCTTCACAGTCCCAGAAAGGCCCAGGAACTCAGAGCTGGAAAGAGTGCTTTGAAGAGCAATTTGATCAGCTCATCCAATAGTTTTGGAACTGCATTGCCCACCGACACCTCTCCAAAGATATGCCTACTAATCTGACCACCAGAGATGCTCTGTCAGATTGGCCACCTTGCACCAGGCTGGGGGTACCTTCACCCAGCCGCCTACATTCAAGAAGAGCCCTTCGATTCATGGAACCCGCGACCCTACCGAATAGAGATGGAGAATCCGTGGATACACTACATTGGCTCACCCTAAGGTCTGGGCTCAAGGGGATGAAGACTCTGGGTACAGCAACCCTACCTCGGATTTTGAATGTAAAGTCTGGCTAATCTTGCAGGACATGTGGGGGAGAGCTGTCATCACGCCTACCAAAGTGACAGACTGTATCTTGCGGCATTGGATGATTCCAAACATCTTTGCCTGAGGAGATCCTGCCTATATATTGCTACGAACAAGTTATTGATGCAGGGATCTCTGTCCTCTTCTCTATTAAGTCCAGCACCCAGTGGCATAAATGTTTTGTTGCATATGGCAGTTTAGCATGTTTGATCACCTATTCTATAATTTTCTTCATTCATGTCCAGAAGACTTTACTGATGCACAGGTTTAGTATTTAACGAGGTTTTTATTTAGCCAAGCATACCTAGCCTGACAGACCAAGTTTTCTGCATTTTGATACTCACCCTACTAAACAGTGCGGTATTACTTGATGTTTTGTGTCTTGTACTATTGTCTATGATCTCACAAAATATCACTCAAAGCCTGTGTATCTTGGTATGCACTACAAAAATAAAATTTACAAAAAATAAATAAATAAAAACACAACCTGATTCTAAGTCCATTTGGAAATTTATTCCAATGAGAAAAGTGGGCAAAGCTAATATGGCAGACTTATAATGCAGACTTTGTAAAAACTATAAAGACTTGAGCATGCAACAAAATAAATACATAGTGCATATTTACAAAGCCAAAGTCTATCAAGTGCATTAAAGGAACACTATAGTGTCAGGAATACTCCGGCCAACCTTACCTCCAGTTAAAACAGTGATTTCCTCACCTTTTTCCAGGGTCGCGCTGGTCCGCTCACGCTCTACCCCATTGGCCCATAGGAAAGCATTGGGAGGTTATCACATATGCGCAGCAAACCACAGCTATGTGTCAATCAGCATCTCCTCATAGAGATGCATTGACTCAATGCATCTCTATGCAGAAAGTTCAGTGCCTCCACGCAGAACATAGAGAAGCTGAACATCAGTACTGCACGTTATGTTGACTCTGGAGGTATACCTAGGCAGTAATTTAAACAATGCCTTTTTTCTCTGGAAAGCAAGTGTTTACATTAAAATGCCTACAGGGACAGGCTATATACATCAGAACAGCTACATTAAACTGTAATTTTTCTGGTGATTACAGTGTCCCTTTAAAGTTGTATTGGTGAGTGCGGTGCTCCTTTAAGTTTATGTTAGTTCCTTTCACTTCTCTTATGTCCAATTACCACCTTTTTGTTGGTGCCCTGCCCATTACAAATTACATACTTACATTATTTTTTTAACAGTATGTAATCATTTTGATTCATATATTTTGCCATAACTTATTCCACTTACAGTATTTTTATCTTGATTGGTTTCCTGCCCACACTATATATCCTACACCACCTATGCATCACAAATCTTTGCTATAATTTCTATTGTTCCTAAGATATTGTACCGTTACACTCCAAATTGTATTACATTACTTGCAATTTAAATATATGTAATATTGGATTCCACCCCTTGTAATTTATTACAATATCAAATAAGTAATGTGCAATGTAAGGTTCAGAGAAATTTTTTCCCAGGTATTATTTTAAATATAATCATATTGATGCTAGGGTTTGTCATAAAAAGGTTCCTTATTTCTCTACTGGCTTTGCCTTTTCTTACAGGCAGATATAGTTAAGTGGTTTTGGTAAAAACATGCCAGCATCTGAAAGGATAAAATTCAGTGAGAAAACTGCACAGGTAGGTTGTTCCCACTTCCCTGGACAAGAAGCTCAGAAAATATAAATATAAAAAATAAATAAAAAAATTTAAAAATTATATATAAAAATTAAATACTCCCGCCTACCTGCTCATAAAAGGCAGTAACCTCCTTCCATCCACAGTTTTCTAAATAACCATATGGAGACCAAATCTTGCAAAATATAATTTATTATCCAGTGGGAGGGAAAGAATGCAGTACTGCCACTCTAAGGAAAATAAAATTTATGGTAAGTAAAATTACTGTTTTTCCTGTCATAAGTGGCAGTACTGCACAAGTGGGATATAGCAAGATCCTTAAAGGCAAGTGGGTGGGTAATTAGTAAACCACAGCTTGGAGCACCAAAAACGGCTTCAGGGGAGGAGAATATGTCCAGCCTGTAATGCTTTATGACAGTGTGGAGTGAGGACCAAGTAGCAGCTTTACAGATATCTTCTGGAGAAGCTGATGACCTCTCCGCGCAGGAAGTAGACATGACCCTGGTGGAGTGTGCTTTGGCTGGAAAGTGCAGGGAGACATTGCTGATTTTATAGGCCAACTTAATGGCCTCAGTGAGCCATCTGGCTAATGTAGCCCTGGAAGCCATCCTGCCTTTAAAGGACCACTCTAGGCACTCAGACCACTTCAGCTTAATGAAGTGGTCTGGGTGCCAGGTCCTTCTAGGGTTAACCCATTTTTTTTTTATAAACATAGCAGTTTCAGAGAAACTGCTATGTTTATCAATGGGTTAAGCCTTCCTCCAAATCCTCTAGTGGCTGTCTCATTGACACCCGCTAGAGGCGCTTGCGTGCTTCTCACTGTGAAAATCACAGTGAGAGCACGCAAGCGTCCATAGGAAAGCATTATGCATGCTTTCCTATGCGACCGGCTGAATGCGCGCGCAGCTCTTGCCGCGCGTGTGCATTCAGCCGACGGGGCGGATCGGAGGAGGAGAGGAGGCAGAGAGCTCCCCGCCCAGCGCTGGAAAAAGGTAAGTTTTTACCCCTTTCCCCCTTCCAGAGCCGGGCGGGAGGGGGACCCTGAGGGTGGGGGCACCCTCAGGGCATTATAGTGCCAGGAAAACGAGTATGTTTTCCTGGCACTATAGTGGTCCTTTAAATCCACCTTGAAAATAGTCAGAAATCCTGTAAGTGGCTGATCTGCGGAGGTATCAGCAGGTATCCGGCCCTTCTAACATCTAGGCAATGCCAATTCTTCTCTGTTTCCATATAGTGGTCTTGACAGAAGGAAAGCAGAACAATAGGCTGGCCGAAGTAATTGCTACCAAGAAAGCAGTTTTAAAACGTCAACATCTTCAAAGAAATCTCTTGCAAAGGTTCGAAGGGGGAATTGCGCATTGTCTTAAGCACTAAAGACAAATCCCAAGTGGGAAAGGCAGAAATATGAGGAGGAGGTTTTAGATAAACAGACTTAAAGAATCTATGATGAAGCCTGTTGGACGCCAAACCTTTACAATAAAATTAGGGCAGAAACTTGTACTTCAAGCGATGAGACACTAGGAATGAAAGACCAACTATCTTCAATATCCTGTTAAGCACCACTGTTAAATCTTGCCAGATCCTGAGGTAACTCTTAGTGTAAGAATTATGGGTTGGGGACAGGAGGGTGTCACAGATGGAGTCTGAAATACCCTGCTCCTTGAGAATTATCCTTGCAGCAGCCAAGCCGTCAATCGAAACATCAACGTTTCCATATGGACGTCTGGGTGTTCCAGTAAGGAAGAACCCAACGAAAGACTGCCAGCTGATTGATTTTGGAAAAACCAGCTCCGGTTTGGCCAATAGGGGAGGATAGCTAACACCCTTGCCTTGTTTTTACGAAGTTTTTTTGTACAATTCGAGCTATTAATGCTACTGGAGAGAAGATGTACGCAATCTTGAATTTCCAAGGGATCTTGTTTCATAATGGAAGCAAAGTTTCTTACTTTCGCGCTCAGTCTGTTGGCCATAAGATCCATCTCTGGTAGACCGAAATTTCTGACTAGGATCTTGAATGTGTCTAGATGAAGGGGCCTGTCCGAATCCAGCGTTGCCTGCTCAGATCGTCTGCCACTATGTTATCTGAGCATTTTATGTAAGTTGCTGAAATGGACTCCAGTTCGATCTGAGCCCAAGCCATGATCTGAGCGCAGAGCCTTTTGAGTGTTATTAAATAGTACAGCCCTGATGATTCAGGTAAGAGACAGTAGTGAGATTGTCTGATTGAATGCTCACCGATTTATTTCGGATTTCTAGATTTAAATCTAGAAGGGCATTCCACACAGCTTTCAATTCCCTGTAGTTTGAAGACTGAGCAGCTTCAGTTTGGGACCAGGAAACTAGGTGAAAGAGTGTGCATTCCAACCTGTCACTGATACATCTGTATTTATAGTGACCCAATTTCTTTGCTTAAATGACAGACTGATTTAAATTAATCTTGAATCTATTCACCAATTCAGTTGACTTTTTACTCTGACATTTGAATCTCTTTTGGACAAGAGGTCTGATCTGAGATCTTTTCCACTTTACCACCGGGATGGTGGATGTAAGGAGGCCTAAAGCGGCTCATTGCTTGTCTGACTAAACATTGATTATTTTTCTGAAGAGTACAAATCTCTTGTTTTATTCTTCTTAGTTTCTTTTTTGGCAAGAAGATTTTTTTGAGCCACTGAATCCACCAGCAGGCCTAGAAACAGTATCTGTGTGGTGGGAAACAACGCTGATTTCTTTTGAATTTATTATCCAATCATGAGCCTGGAATTACTGAGTCGTAAGCAGAAGATTCCTTTCCAGCTGTTCCATTGATTCTGCCTTCAGCAGCCAATCGTCTAAGTAAGGGATGATGGCAATGCCTTTTATTCTCAGTGCGGTTGTTAAAGGTATAAGGATCTTCGTGAAAATACGAGGAGCTGAAGATAGGCCAAATGGAAGTGCCCGGAACTGGAAATGGAGAAGTTTTTGTTTGTCTGATTTTATTGCAAACCTGAGAAACCTTCATGAGCTTGTGGCCGTAGGCACATGGAGATAGGCGTCCTTGAGATCTACTTTCACCATGTAATCTCCCTTTTGAAGAATATGAGTGACGGAAAGGATATTTTCCATGCGGAATCGTTGGTACGGAATGCACGAGTTTATTGTTTTTAGGTGTAGAATAAGATGAAAACTTATGTCTGTTTTTTGACGAGAGTATACAACATTGGAACTTGTGTGGCGTCAATATTTCCTTCTTTAATTCTGGTAGCCAAAACCTGTCTTGGCTGGGTATTCTCGCTTGTCTTCACGAAATGGTTTCCGAAACCTTCTAGATTTATCTTGGAACCGTAAGGATCTTTAAATCCTGTACTGAAACCTCTTGGTGTTAGATGATATGAATTCTTGTGGCAGGGCCTTTTTAGTATCAGCCACTTGTTTAATAATGTCTTCCAGTGTAGATCCGAACAGTTTGTTCCTCTCAAAGGGCAGTTCACACAGATAACCCTTAGATGCTGTATCTGCCATCCACGATCGGAGCCACAGAGCCCTCCTGGCTACTGATGATAGACCCATGATTCTGGCAGAAAGTCTGAGACATTCTTCGGTCATATCTTGAATAAATTCATTAGATAGACGTAAAAGGTTAAAAAAAAAAAAAAGAAAAAAAAGTGCAACAGGACTTTGTCTGCTTTTTCTGCTACCATATCCTCCAAGAAGAGCCAGGCACCTTGCGCCTTTGCTACTCTCACTCCTAAAATAGCAGCTTTGTATTGATAACCTGCAGCCTGATAAGCCCTTCTGCACAATGTTTCTGCACGCTTATCCATAGGCTGAAACCTGAAATTTCCCTATAGGAATTGTGTTTTTTTTGGAGAGCTGGGCTACTTGGATGTCAACTTTCGGTAGATCTTGCCATCTTTCTTCATTTTGCAACTTAAAAATCTATTTAAAGTGTTTAGAAACAAAAGCCTGTCTTTCAGGATTTTTCCACTCCCTTTGGAGCAGCTCCAGAATTCTGGAATTAATAGGGAAACCTTTTGCCTTACTTTTAGTGGGTTCCATTCCCTGAAATAAGGCAGAAACTTCCTTAACCAAAGTTCCTCTGGAGGAAAACCTTCATCCAGGCTGGAAACTTCCGATCTTGAAGAATTTGAACATTCACCTGAAGACAAATCTGATTGTGAAGATGACTTCAAACGCTTACTTTTTTTTATCTTCCTTCTCTGGAATCTTAACAGCACCGCTGTCATGCTTTACCAAATTATTTAAACATTTGAGATAGGTTTTCCTGAAACCAGCTCAAAAAAAAAAAATTGCATCTCTTTTTGTTTTGATTTTTCTAAAGATTCTGCAGCATCCTGGTTGCACGTCTTTTTTCTACATCCGTCTGGCAGCGGAACAGCACATTCCAAGCAGAAGAGGGGTTTACCTTTACATGAAGCCTTCCTTGGAGGTGGAACCGACTTTTTTTTCTGTCTCCTTGTCTAGGGATGCAGGCCTGAACATATCTGAAATAAAATAAGAATATCACTAAAAACATAGAATAAGAAATAAAAGCTGAGGCATTTTAAAGTAGAGACTAATAAATCTCACCTCAAAATACCTCACTGCCGTGTGGGAGGGCTGGGGCCACTGTAAACCAGATACTGGCGACCACCCAGATGTCAGTCTGTTCAGTACAGCTTATAGTGCCAATTTTGTGGCACATTTTCTAAGTTCCGATCGCGCACATTTCAGGGGAACGCAAGGCAACCCGGGCGTGCGTTGCACTGCTGTGCGCAAGGCCTGCTCCTGGATTGGAGGGGCGTCTGGGATCTCCCACTTCCTGCCGGCATAATGAAAAGCCCCCTTCCACTTGCGTTCCATAACGCTTGTGTGGAAGGGTACCTCTAAGCTCACCTCCCAGGGAGGTTTGGGGACCACATCTCCCTGGCTGCAACCTGTAAGCCTCAGTCTGTCCTGAAGCGTCTTGTCCACCCCGTTGTCGGGACAAGAAGAACTGTGGATGGAAGGATGTTACTGCCTTTTATGAGCAGATAGGCGGGATTATTTAAATGTTTATATCTTTTCAAAGCTTCTTGTCCACATAAGAGGGAACAAACTACTTGTGCAGTACTGCCATTTACGACAGGAAAATACATGGTGTATTCAGTTAAAGGGACACTCCAAGCACCAAAACAATTTTATTTAAATCAAGTTATTCTACTGAATTTTCAGATTCAGGAAGTGTGGAGTGCCGCCGGGTAAAGGTGCCGCTCTCAGCCAATCAGTAACTCCCCATTCTCTAAACTGGCTTGGAAGTGGTACGTTTCTTTACAAGTCAGGCAACTTAGGGGTTAAACCATTCGATAACTGTTTAACCCCTTGAGGTAAACGTGCCTCCTGGAAACATAACAACTTCATTTAGATTACGTTGTTATGGTGCATGAAGTGTCCTTTTAAAAGTGTTGTGATATAAACTCACATCTTGAACAATGCTGCACTGTTTTGTTTATAGGTATTGTAACACTTCAAGTCCACCTTTGCTCTGCCTGCTTGGGACACTTACCCAAGCAAGGCAATCATTTCCGATGACGTCAAAACGCAGACTTCATTGCCAGCATGCCGGTGTCTGAACAGTGTAACTTTGGTAACCTAGCAACTACGGCACTTGCATCATAGATACTATTCTCGATAAGGAAGAGGTCTATTATAGCCAATCAATTTCTTGGGCACAGAGTCTATGCTGAAGAATTTGGAAGAGTTTTTCCCCCCCCCAAATATATACATTTGATAGCATAATTAACAACTGCAATTTCACTTTAAAGCAGGGCTCAAAAATCTCAGGTCACCACGGCGACTAGGAATTTTCTCCTGGCAAATAGAGACCAGAGGGGGCAGGTCGCCTCTTCGAGAGCTGAAGAATGCAGCCGGTTGTGCGAAACAGAGGAGGCAAGGGAGCTGTAACCCATCTGCAATGCTCCCTCACACGCCCAGCAGTGATGCTGGGATCTTGAATATGACGTAACTCCGGCCTTTGCATCACTAAACTGCATGGGAGAGGGAGCAGATAGATTACAGCAGCCCCACTGGACCCCAGGGTAAGGTGTACCACTCCAGCTCTCCTCCCAAAAGGTATGTGGATTTAAATGGAAATAATAATAAAAATATATATATATATATATATATATATATATATATATATATATATATATATATATATATATATATATATATATATATATATACACACATAGGCAGAAAATGGCCAGCACTCACGGTTTCAGGTAAAAGTTAAAATTCAGAAATTTATTAGAACATCTTTAAAAATGTAGCAGCTCCATTTATATATATATATATATATATATATATTTTTTTTTTCTCTCTGAGTGTGTGAGAGTGGTGTGTTTGTCAATTTATGTGCGTCTCTGTTAATGTGACTGTCTCTCCCCCCCCCCACACGCTGGCATCGCGACACCTTGACGGCTGAAATAATCAATCTTGATGATCTCAGCCAAGCCAGTGCTGTCCCATAGGAAAGCACTGGGAGGCTATTGCCTGGGCGCTAATTAGCATCTCCTCATAGAGATGCATTCAATCAATGCATATCGAAGGAGACGCTGAACATCATGGCTACACACTGTGCAGCACTCGACTAGGAATTGCACAGAGTGGCCGTCTGAGTGACTGTCACTAGAGGTGTTACTTGGCAGCAATAGAAACACTGCCTTTTCTCTGAAACGGCAGTGTTTTCATTTAAAAGCCTGTAATAACAGGCTATGGACACCAGAACCACTCCATTATGGTGTAATGATTTCTGGTGACTATAGTGTCCCTTTAAGAATGGTGTTTTCTGAAAATTAAGCTTTGTTCATTAAAAATACCTGGTGCCTAACTTTTTTAGAATCCAAGCAAATTTGTGAAGCACTACTATAAAGGAACCAGAAGTACTACAACAGAATGTATGGCACTGACCAAATAAAAAAAAATATCACTATATAGTAAAAATACCCTTAATGAAAAATGCATGCCTTAATTTTTCCCATTGTGAGTATAGAACAGCTGCAAATCTATTGTCTGCAGTCTTTACAAACTCTCCCCTCTGAACCCTGCCCAATCACAGACTTCTTAATGCAGTTCAATGAGAAGTCTTTGTAAGGCAGGTGCTCTGAGCTTAAATAAATAAATAAATAAATAGGAAATAACAGAACCTGTGGGCCAATTGACAACCAGGGGATTGCAACAAGGTTAATTTATAAAATTGTGTAAAATAAAATAAAAAGGGTCAAATAGTAATAGGAATCTTGAATGTCCCTTTAACAACTGCATAAATTTTCAGAAAAATATGGATTGCCAGGTTTTTTTTTTCTTCTCTCTTTCCCTTTCTAATAACACGGCATTACTTTTTTATTAAAATCCTGAAGTGAAATTTTATGGTTTGTTTCAGCCTAAGCAGAAACACACACACACAAAGACTTGTTCGTTTATAGCTCTGGTTGTCTTGAACATACATCCTATCTAGCCTAATAAGCATCTATAAATACCATGGAATATATTGTCCATTAGTCTGAAGTACACTATGTGAGAAGAGACACAGTGTGCATGTCCTATTAAATGCTGCAGTGGTTATGGTGCCATCCCGGTGTAGTCGGTCACACTGTAACAGTGTTTGACACTTACCTGGATGCCATCAGACACTTACACTGCGCCCAGTCTCCTGGAGGAGCCATGTGTCTGTTTTATTCAGGGCAGAAACCCATCACATGGCTGAGAGTGATCAGCCAACATGATATTTACATCCATATCGGCATTAATCATCCCCGGCTCACAGGCTGCTGTCAAACTGGGATAGATAGACGGAGCTGGAAAGGCGCCTCTCCTAACACTGAATACATTTATCCTATAGACTGTAAGCTCCTTTGAGCAGGGTCCTCTTCAACCTATCGTTTCTGTAAGTTTTCTTGTAATTGTCCTATTTATAGTTAAATCCCCCCTCTCATAATATTGTAAAGCGCTACGGAATCTGTTGGCGCTATATAAATGGCAGCAATAATAATACTAATAATAATCACAGTGCTCTGCAGTGGTGATGGTGCACAGACCATTTGCCGGTACATAGAGCGGCACACTGAGTGACACCCTATCCGGGGTTTACCTCTCCACATGTCTCTGGGGTCACGGCTTGTGTCCGGCTTCTCAGCCCCGTCTATCAGCCTTTACCGGGCGCTGCCTCTTCCCGCCACAACCAAAACAAACTGAGCGGCAAGGCAAAAGCAATCGATGGCCAAAAGGCAGAGTGAGCGCCAATGAGACGTTACGCGGCTCGTTGCCCATTGCGCAGGCCGAGTGAAGCTAGCAGCGGCCATCTTTACTACTGGCACGCCCGGCTGACTGCGCACTCTTTTTATCCTTCGCGGCGCTCTATAATGATTAGTGTAATATTACAAATGTGAAGCGATGATTGTGTATCGAAAACTGTCTAAAACGTCACTAAATTAAATTACGTGACGTCACCAAAGTGCCAACTAAGAGCTGCCAATGCCACGGCTCCAATGCTCTAAACACTAAAGGGAAACACCAGCAGCCGAATTCTTGGTATAATGGATCCATTTTTAACTCAGCGGAATGGTATATATCAACAACCGTGCCTTTGGGGAACAAAACGAAGTCTAATAGACCGCTTGTAAGAGAAGGAGCCCTGCGCCGGTGACAGGAATGCAGAATGAAATTGTCTCTGGTGTTTAGAGCTCAGGAGATAACCTCCAGCCTCGTGATCCCGGTGTTAGCCAATCATAGCTGACCACCAACATACACGCGGCCCAATGGCGGCCAGACGTGACATATCGCAGTGAGTAGGCGGGGCTGGGAGCGGACGGCCAATGAGAAGCGCTGCAGGATGTGTGAGTGAGCGCTGATTGGCTGCGTGCTGTGAAGGCATTCGCTGTGCTGGTGGAGCGCTGGGCTGGTACAGTGAGGGGATGAGAGCGGAGGCGCTGAGCAGGCAGCAAGATGGCGTACCAGACCTTCCGGCAGGAATACATGCAGATCCCCCCTGTCACCAGAGCCTACACCACAGCATGTGTGCTCACCACGGCCGTAGTGGTAAGCATGGGGAGCGGGGGGCTGGGAGCCGGCTGCCTGGTCAGTGTCTGTGCTGGGACAGCTTAGTGCAATGCCGGGCTGGGGAACCTCCTACACTCAGTACAATACAATACAATATAATATAATACAATACAATATAATACAATACAATATAATACAATACAATATAATACAATATAATATAATACAATATAATACAATACAATACAATACAATATAATACAATATAATATAATACAATATAATACAATACAATATAATACAATACAATATAATACAATACAATATAATACAATATAATACAATACAATATAATACAATATAATACAATACAATATAATACAATATAATATAATAGGATGGCTCTGCTCTCTGTCAGCATGAGAGTGGGCCACAGGTTAACGTGTGTGTGTGTGTATGATTCGTGTGTGTGTGTGCGTGTATGATTCGTGTGTGTGTGTGTGTATGATTTGTGTGTGTGTGTGTGTATGATTTGTGTGTGTGTGTGTATGATTCGTGTGTGTGTGTATGATTCGTGTGTGTGTGTGTATGATTCGTGTGTGTGTGTGTGTGTGTGTATGATTCGTGTGTGTGTGTGTGTGTATTCATGTAGTCTGACACACTGTCTGTGATGACATGCCAGGCTCCCCACACAGGGCACACTAGTCACATTGCCCGCTGGGCACTGAGTGGGTGCAGACAGTCTGGTTAAATGGCTAATTTGCCCCCTGACAGGGCACTGTTGGCCTCTACCTGTCTGAAAGGACACGTCATGGTCTGTTAAACACAGTGCAGCCCTCCATGATAGCAAGTTTTACTGTCTGTGTGCATACTATTCCATATAGGCTATATGTGCTTGATGAGGGTGTTGATATTTGGGGGGGGGAGGCAAAACCCGTGTGACAGAGAAAATATAGTATTTAGACCATAAAATAGAGAAAAGGCAAAAATCATAGAAACACACCCAAGTTGTTGGGTTTTTTTTTTTTTTTCTTTTGTGGTCCAATTTCTACTGAAAGTCACACTATTTATTGGTATTATAATTATGAACCTTCTTTTGGCACATAATCATCTTGCAAAACAAAAACTAACTCATTAAAAACAGCTGTTCCATCTAAATCTCTATGCTAATATGGGAAACATGCAAAAATAGACAAGATACTTTTTGTATCCTTTAACCCCTTAAGGACCAAACTTCTGGAATAAAAGAGAATCATGACATGACACATGTCATGTGTCCCTAAGGGGTTAAACTGCAGAGAGCTGGAAACTTTATGCCACAAATTGAGCTTTTATAATTGCTGAAGCTATGATTTATCCAATTGGCTGTTAGGCTTACAACTTAAAATTCACTGGTAAATGATTTTCGGTTTAATCATAAATAACCTTGACAAAGTTCCAAAGACACAGAGAGTAGCATTTTTTTTTTTTTTTTTTAATATGAGGGTGATAAAACCTATTAATGACCTACAATTAAAAACCTTGCCAAGGTCATAAAAATGCCATGCACATACTTGACTATCAATGAAGCAAAATATAATTATACACGCAAGTGTTGTCTCATATTATTGGGGAAGGCCACATTCCATCCTGAATCATAGATGTGATAATTCATTGAAAATATGTCTTAATTAGTTACAATACAATGCATATATTATAAAATAATGATTTTAGTGTGTTATGCAGATATATAATCTCAATCCATATTTTATCAATCTGATATATATGCACACACAAACTGGGGGAAAAGAAAGTACACCCTCTTTGAATTCTATAGTTTTACATATCAGGACATGACTAATCATTTGTTCCTTAATATGTCTTAAAGTTATGTAAAAACTACCTCAGATATGAACAGTGTCATGATTTATTTATAAAAAATAAAGTCAAATTGGAGACGCTGTGTGTGTACACCTTGTGATGTAATAGTTTGTAGAACCAACTTTAGCAGCAATAACTTAAAGCCCTCATTTTCTGTTTGACTTTATTAGTGTCTCACATCGTTGTGCAGGAATTTTTACTATCTCTTCATTACAAAGTTGCTTCAGATCATTGAGGTTTGCTGGCATTTGTTTATGCATAGCTCTCTTAAGGTCCAGCCACAGCATTTCAGTCGGGTTGGGATCAGGAATTTGACTGGACCATTGCAACACTGATTATTATTATTTATTTTTTTTTTTGCAATTCGGTTGTAAATTTGCTGCTGTACTTGGGATCCTTGTTCTGTTACATGACCCAATTTTCGTCAATCTTTCGCTGTCAGATAGATGGCCTCACATGTGACTCTAGAATACTTTGGTATACAGAGGAAATGCATGGATGACTTAATGACTGCAAGGTTCCCAGGTCCTGTGGCTGCAAAACAAACCCAAGTCATCACCCTTCCACCGCTGTCATTGACAGTTGGTATGAGGTGTTTGTGCTGATGTGCTGTTTGTTTTTCGCAAAATAGGATTCTGTGCATTATGGCCAAAGATTTCAACTTTGATCTCGTCTTTCCAAATTACATTGTTCCAGAAGTCTTGTGGTTTGTTCAAATGCAAGTTTGCAACCGTAAGCCGTGCTGCAATATTCTTTATAGGGAGAATAAAAACTTTCTCTTGACTATCCTTAAAAACAAACCATACATGTTCATAATTTTTCTAGTTGTTCTGTCATGAAGTTGAGCATTTAACAGGCTAACTTAGGCTCGTAGAGTCTGAGATGTAACTCTTGGTTGTTTTTTTTTGCAATTTATCTAAACATTGCACGGTCTGACCCTGGGGTGAATGTGCTGGGACATCCACTCCTGGGAAAATTGGTAACTGTCTTGAATGTTTTCAACATTTGCATAATCTTTCTCACAGTAGAATGACGAACGTTAAATGTTTCGAAATGGCTATGTAACTCTTCCCAGTTTGATAGGCAGTAGCAATTGCTTCCCTATAATCATTGCTGATGCCTTTCCTCCTTGACATTGTGTTATCACACACCTGAATGCTACAGACCAGCAAACTGCTAAAACTTCAACTTTTATAGAGGTTGTCACATTTACTGATGTTCAGTTAATCAATGGCAATTTATTGGCAGCACCTTTCTACTAATTATCCTCTTAAAGTGGCACTGTCACGCTGAACCTACCTTTCACCTATCTCTTCCTCTTCTCTCCATCTCTCAGAATTTGTTCTTTTCTTTATTTCTGCTCTAGTTTTCTTTAAAATATAAGACAAAGTAGGGACTGAATCTATATGGACAAAAGTATTGGGGGACACCTCTCAATTGTGGAATTAAGGTGTTCCAATCCATTTCATTGCTACAGATGTATAAAAACAAGCACCTATCCATGCAGTCTGCCTTTACAATCATTTGTGGGGGGAAATGGGTTGTTCAAAAGAGCATAGTGAATTCCTGCAAGATTGTGAAATTTCAGTCATCTTGAAGTGGTATTATTGTAAAGTGATAGCATTTAGGAACAGCAGAACTTTGGCCACGTAAAGTCACAGTGCTGAGGTGCATGATGCATAAAAGTCACCAACACTGATTCCGTAGCTGAAGAGTTGCAAACTTCCACTGGCATTAATATCAGCACAAATACTCTGCAGCGGGAGCTGCATGGAATGGGTTTCCATAGCCAAGCAGATGCATGAAGTAGAATGACAAGCATCAAATCGAGTGGCGTAAATTATGCTGCCACTGAACTCCTGGAGCAGTGGAAATGCTCCTGTTAGGCAGTTTTGATGGGCGAGTCTGGCTGTGACGGATGCCGGGAGAACGTTGCCTGTCTGCATTGTGCCCACTTTAAAGGACCACGTTTATGTTTCCTGGCACTATGGGGTCCCCCTTCCGTCAGGCTCTAGGGGGAGGAAGGGGTTAAACACATACCTTTTCTCCACCGCCGGGGGCTCTCCGCCTCCTTTCCCCGTCGTCAGCTGAATGCGCATGCACGGCAAAAGCGCGCACGCGCATTCAGCCAGTCCATAGGAAAGCATTCACTGAATGCTTTCATACGGACGCTGGCGTCTTCTCACTGTGAAAATCAAAGTGGGAAGCGCCTCTAGCGGCTGTCAATGAGACAGCCACTAGAGGCTGGATTAACTCATAGGTAAACATAGCAGTTTCTCTGAAACTGCTATGTTTACAGCAGAAAGGGTTAATCCTAGATGGACCTGGCACCCAGACCACTTCATTAAGCTGAAGTGGTCTGGGTGCCTATAGTGGCCCTTTAAGGTGGATAATGGTATGGGGCTGTTTATCAGGCGTTAGGTTAGACCCCATGCTTCCAGTAAAGGGAAATCTTCATGCTTCACCATATCAAGACATTTTGGACAATGCTTTGTGGAACCAGTTGAACCAGTTTGGGGAAGGCCTCCCTCCCCCTAACTCTGCTGTTTTTGCTTACATATTTGCTGATTCTCAAACCACAGCAGTCCAATTTTTTTTTTTTTTTGGTAGATATAAATGAGGTATGGGGTGGCAGTACTTTCTCAAAGTCTTCATATACTTGTGTTCTCATACCAATTATTTTAAGGTAGAATCCGTTATATTCTTTTAGACTTTTTTTATTTATTTTTTATTTGCTGTTTTGTTTTTTGTGCACAAGCTTTATTCCCCTTTCTCTTCTTCAAGATGCCACTTGCTTTATCTATTAACCTTATTTCTCCCTGAGTCAGCATTTAAAATAAATAGTAGAATTTGGTCACCTACATTCTTCTTCAAAATGATTCTGTTTTAAAAGTCTAATTTATGCATTTAAAATGATTCCAATTTGTGTGTGTCGTGTGTTGTTTTTTTGGTTTGGTGTGCAGCTATTTATTTAGCCTGTTAGTATATCATTAAAATGCTTGCAAACAGCATTTAAGTACTCTACTTAAATAGTCATAAAGATTTTATTTATTTTTTCTTTCATTCATTCAGCAATTAGAACTCATTACACCGTTTCAACTGTACTTCAACCCAGACTTGATATTTAGGCATTACCAGGTAAGCATTCTTTTCAATTTCTTCTTTCAGCACCAATGAATCCTTTATTCTGATAAACCATTGTGTTCAAAAGAGTGGTGTGGATTTAACCAGAAACTAAGTGTTCAAAACTCATACTGACAATTGGCCTGTGGCCTGGCAAATAAAAATGTGGTCCTACCTAGTGTGTCATGGCAGTGGCAAGTAACTTTAAAGGCCTAGCTTGTAGTTTAGGACTTTAACTGTAAAGCATTGTTGCATCTTAATTTACAGTTGTACATATAAAGTGTGTGTGTGTGTGTGTGTATGTATATATGTGTGTGTGTGTGTGTGTATATATATATATATATACATACATACATACATACATACATACACTGCAGGTTCCCAGTTTAAATTTAAACATCCATATTGTCGGCTTAGAGTGTAACTTTACAAGATAATCTTGGAGTTGTAATGTCTGAAACATACTGCCATTTCTTGAACACATTTAGGAGAAAGCTGAACTGTCGGTTGATCTACAGAGTGTCATGGATCAAGTGATAAGAATTACTTTCAGGGAGTTTCCATACATGAGTTCAAAAGATTATATAGACTGTCTTATATATGAGATACCTGGTTTTACTTCATTTTCTTCATGTAAATGACTGCACGTTCATATACTTAAACGAACACTCCAGACCTCTAATGTGCTTTAGCTTGTTAAGTGTTTTGTGTCTTAAGAGTAGTATTTTATTTTTTTCTTCTAAAAGTGCAGATATCATCCGAAATTGGCACATTTTATGATTTAACCTTGTTTCACCCCTTTGCTGTCAAGCAACCAGCCTATTTACTTCCTAATTGTTAGCTCTGTAACAGCCACATAAAGTCTGGATTCTGTTAGAAGGGTGGAAGGCGTGCAAAGGCAGCAGACAAGATATCTACAACTATTATTTTTATTTTAATATATTAAAATATATATATATACACATACCCACCCACCCACAATGAATAATGCATAATTAAATGCATGCATGGTCTCAATGGGGGTGTGTCTAGTAACCATAATTTTATTTTGATCTGGACAGTGGAGTGTCCTTTTTAAAGATAGTGTTAAGGTTTGTGTTTTGAGTTAGTTAGTGTTTTAGGACCAGAGGGAGTTATTTAGGGTCAAGGACAGGGGTAGACAACCTTTGGCACTCCAGATGTTATGGATTACATCACCTTTGATGCTTTGCCAGCAGTATGACTATAAGAGCATTATGGAAGATGTAGTCCACAACATCTAGTATGCCAATCGTTGCCTACCTCGGGTCTAGGGATTGCACTCAAAGCCTTTAGCCCTAATCATTAGCATGCAAAATTATTTAATGTTTTTATTTAATTATTTTAATTATTTATATGAAATGGATATTCTACTTTTTACTTCCATTTTTAATTTATTTATTTTTTAATTATAATAACAATATAAAAAAACTTTAATTTGATGTTACACTATTCCTTTGATCCACTTCCATTTTCAGTAAATGTGATTTATAGCAATATGAGTGACAAAGCCAGGATTTTTTGCACAGATCAAGAAAAGATAAATATCTGATTTGATGATATCCAAAAGGAATTGGCAAGTTTGCCCTAACCACACATATTTTCTTGCTAAAAATATAAGTGGTGCCATGTAAATGTCCTTTTATATTTGGCAACATTGTGTATAATGTATCTTCTGTCTCTATTATATTTAATTTTTTTACAGGTATGGCGATTAATAACAAACTTCTTATTTTTTGGAGCCGTTGGATTCAATTTTTTATTTAATATGATTTTTCTGTATCCTTTTAATGGAATTGTTCTGAGCTAACATTGTAAACCTCTTATAATCTTCTTTCTTCGCATTTCTAATGGAAATACGAGTTTATAAATGGTCAATTTATCAGCTGTAGAATACAATTACCATGGATTCTCACTAAATATTTGTGACTTTCCTTTATAAAAGAAAAGCTGTAGGCATCATAAACACTTTAATGGATTCGAGTGGTTATAGTGCCTGGAGTCCTTGGGTGCCAGATCCCACATCACTGCTAAACAGTTTACTCACTGTTTAGGAGGGTTGCTCTGTCCCTGGCAGCCTGGTCTCCAGTGATGATATGGTGAAGGTGTAAGGACTGGATACTAGGGACTGCCGACACTCTCAGCCAAGCACCTCTGTTATAGGGTGAAGTGGGACATCACTCCAACATTTTGTTATTTGCGGCAAGGCTACAGGGGGCGGGGGCGGAGATTCTCTGCTAAGAGGTGAATAAACCATATAACAGTCATGCAGAACCTGGTTACCATGGACTCCAGGTACAATAACCACTTCAATCCATTGATTGCCCCACCCCTTTTATTTTTTTATTTTTTTTTACTTCAATACTGCTGCATCAATATTGGCTAGAATGAAAAGACATGGAGAGCAGGTCCCTTGCAAATACCACTATAATTATTTTGCTTGTTGTCTCATTGATGCAATCTGTCTGAAGAAAAGTTTCCCCTGACATCTTGGTTGTAGGAAGTACATCTAAATATCAATAACTTTTCCACAGTGGAAATATTTTATATAGTATTTTCAGTTTGTATTTGCTTAAAGGGACACTATAGTTATCAGAACAACTACAGCTATTGCAGTTGTTCTGGTGTCTGCAGCCTGTCCCTGTATGTTTTTTAATGTAAACACTGCCTTTTCTCTGTCTGACAGTCACTCAGATGACCACTAGATGTGATTCCTGGATCAGTGCTGCACATGCTCTGCATAGAGGGCCGGGCTGTACGTTCGTCATAGAGATGCATTGATCCAATGAGGATATGCTGATTGGAGCAACATTGCGTTTTGCCACACATGCACAGTAGCTTCCAACTACTTTCCTATGGGAAAGCATTGGATTGGCTGAGATTGGATCAGCATGGCCAGCCACGACGTGACCCATACTGAGCTGTAATAAAGATGAGTAAAATCACCTTTTACTCTTCTGACAGGGGGGCAGCCACCTAAAATTAAAACTATAGTGTCAGTCATACATGTTTGTATTCCTGACGCTATAGTGTTCCTTTAATTTATTTTAATATTTGGATTGTGTTTCTCTACTACATCTGTACATCTAATTAAGCTTGACATTTTTTCTTGTTTTAGAAATGTTTTGTCTTTTATAAGGGAGATGTATTCCTTAACATGGGTGCTTTCTACAGATATCGATACTGCAGGATGCTTGAAGAAGGCTCCTTTAGAGGTCGAACTGCAGATTTTGTATTTATGTTCCTGTTTGGTGGTCTTTTAATGGCTGTATCCTTTATCAACCAGAAATTGTGATTTGATAAGTTAATTTACATTTGTCATTTTCTTGCATGAACAGCATGTTTCTGGAGAGATGAGCTGCGCACTTTGTACATATATATTCTAAGTGTTACAGTTGTTTGTGCAAAGGTCTGTGTATAAACACAAAAATGTCTGGTTTTATTTTTGGAGTATATTGTTTAAATAACTAGACTAGAAGTATTGTATGCATCTCACAAGATGGGGCATACATTGAAGAAGCCTTTTTTTTTTTTGTGTCCTTTCCCATAAATCTCCTAATCTGTCTTTATCACAAAAAAATGTTTTTGCTCCTCTGCTCATGCTGCTGCTGCTCTTAAACTGAGCCTACCCCACCTTCTTTCCCTTAGGCCTAGTTCAAACAGGAGAAATACCCAGAGGAAGGCAGATAACAACAGACATGCAGAGAGGGCAAGGGCTGTTTTTTTTAACCTCTGATTTAAAAAAAAAAAAAAAAAAATCTAGAAATTTGCTAGCAATTCTGCAAGCACAATATAGAGATGAATTTGATTTTTTTTTAAGATTAAATTGTATTTGTGCTATCAGGTACCTTTAAATAAAACTGTCTGTGCAAGTTAAAAGGGTACATTGTGAGCAATAGGTGAGACCAGAAGAGTCAGGGGGTTTAGTTTTGTCACTTTAAGCAAAGATATTGACTTTGACATATTGGGAAAGTGCATCATAAATATTCATAATTGTGCAAGTTTGATGACTTTGGCTCCTTAGCCAAACAATTACATACATTTTTTGGACTTAAGATTTCCCTTGTAACGAACAGATATTAATTTGGTTTTGACATTGATGCTTCCACTGATTGCAATAATTTCATTTTTGTTTGACAAATGCTTTCTGGGTAAGGAGCCTTGCTTGGCATTGTAAATCTTTGCAGCAGTCCATGAGGCTGATTGGACCGTTTCCCATTTATGAATGCAAGTAGATTATGGCAGACCTCATCTCCTAGGAGATTCCCCAGCAAGTGGGAAAACTTCTCATTTTGACTATTTTGGAATTTCACTGAAGAGATAAACTGAATAAGGGTCTGAGTAGGGTCTACTTTGTTTATTTCCTACGCCTGACACTCTAGACACTGGGCGGAGATTCCGCTGTATAGAAGTGTCAAACCCCCAGATGTTATCAGTGACGGCTGCAGGGAATTGGCCCTGTCTATGTAGACCTCCTATGCTGTACTAATAAAATTTCATATAAGTAGAACTCCCCTTTTTGTTATATTTGATATATTTTTTTAATATTTACAATTGTGTTTTTTAGAAATGTTATCCAAAAATATTAAATAATTGAAGAAGCTTATCCAAACATATTAAATTAAGGCTATAGTTATAAATGCTGCCCAGCACTGCTGTCATTCTTTCCTTAATGGGTTTTCCCCAGATCTTTGGCCTGTTTGTCAGCTTAGTTTTCTTGGGCCAAGCGTTCACGATAATGCTTGTGTATGTGTGGAGCAGAAGGAATCCTTATGTCCGGATGAACTTCTTTGGTCTTCTGAACTTTCAAGCACCTTTCCTGCCTTGGGTGCTCATGGGATTTTCATTGTTACTGGGGAACTCCATTATAGTGGATCTTCTAGGTAAAAATACTAAATCTGAAATCATTATTTAATGCAACATGTATACTTACAAATTAACCCAATAAAGACACCCCAAATAGATGCTGAGCTTTAATCACTACCATATTGATGATTCAAAGGTAAATGCTTGTTGTTCACACTTTTTGTGTTTTGCTTAAATGTTGGATTTACTTAGTACAGTGAGGAACTATTTGTGCTCCTTTTTAAAATGTGCTGGTCATGATTTGCATAACTGAAACAAAACTATATAAATTCTATATGTAATGCTAGCAAAATTCCTAGCAATACAGCTGTATAACAAATGCCCCCACCCACATGACACATTCATTATTTGGCATACAGTCAGCTTAGACCGTTCTGCTGAGATGTGAACACTAGAGGAGATGCTTTTCCCCTGCCCCCTGTTATAGCAACTACAGTACATGTGCTGTAATTGATGTGATCGGGTATTTCAGTGATATATTCGACACTTATCCTGTGTATTGCTGGCCCGAGTGACCCTTACCTTGTATTTCTGTAAAGTTTTATTTTTTATATTGTTGACTTTTTGGCACCATTGTTTTTTCTGTCTACAGACTTGTGATTTGGTTATATTATAAGATGGAGTAATAGAATAGTGTCAATTGTTTGTTACTGTGTAATTGGTATTACACCCCTTTACCATATTTTTGTTTACTTGTTGGGCACCTACTGAAAGCCATCAACATATTTACTAAACCGGTAGATATAGACAGATTTTGATTTAGTCTCCTCGCTCATTTTCTGCTTCACTTTAAATACTTTGTTGTAGCCTTTAATGTCATAACTTTTCATTTCTCCACATCTCTCTAAATGTGTTTGATTTCATTTAGGTATTGCAGTTGGGCACATATATTTCTTTTTAGAGGATGTGTTTCCCAATCAACCTGGAGGAGGAAGAATTCTTAAAACCCCTTATGTATTGTAAGTATACGTTTTAAAAACCTTTTTGTGTAAAGCTTGTTAACTTGAGGAATAAATATACATGTATGGGATTTTTATATTTTTGTAAAGGCAGTTTTTCAAAAGTGCAGACTATTGTGAATGATTTGCAGACATTACTATTTAAAAGGGTTGAATTAAATATCTTGCTTAACTACACACGGATGCATTTTCTCATTTCATATTTAGAAGTACAGTGCTATGGGCTTTGTGTTTGTTTGTTTTTTGTTGTTTTTCTTTACTTGCGCTATAGCATCAGCATATTTTTCTACTCGTGTCCAAACTAATTGTTGCGTATCCATTATTGCTTTGCAAGTCATATCTTTAGTAAAGTGTATGTATTCAACACCTAGAAAAGCTGTCTCATTGAAACTGCTCTTAAACTTTAGACGCCATCGATTCCAAGAACAATATGTGACAAACAGATCCAAGCACATCTTATTATTTGGTAGATACTATATGTACAAACAATGTTTCAGTCCTGCTTAGGTTTTATTCAACATTGTATAGACATAATATCTAAACACAGAACAGCTTTTTACAAACTACCATTAATATCATTGTCATTATATTTCCCATAACATTCATTCTACCCATTCATTCTGGGAAGAAACTTCACCCACAATGATAATTGAATCGATTTTATTTTTTTGTTCATGCATTTTATATATATCTTGATACATTGATACACTGGACTAAAATGTGGCTTATACCTAATAGTATCTATGAAATACAACTACCTTGAGAAGCATTTGTGCCTCTTTCTTTACAGCAGTGTTCTGACAAGAATTTAACTCGTTTCCTTTTGATATGTTCCCAATAAGTGATACTTGCTAAAATGTATTCATTTATTTTATTTTAGAAAAGCAATATTTGACACTCAAGAAGAAGACCCAAATTACAATCCACTCCCTGAAGATCGACCTGGAGGATTTGCGTGGGGTGGAGGTCAATGATTTTAAAGTTATTGAGACTGGTGCCAACATTCAAATGCAACAGGGAAGCAAAGCTATTTTATTACCTTGTGGGACACATTCTCCCTGTTTCAAGAGACAGATTTCACATTTCTCCAGAGCCGGAAGCACTTTATGATCCATTGACTCGCCCATGGAGACCTTTTCAACTACCCATCAGTGCCTCTGAGTTGAGGTTTTGCTTGCATTGGTACTTGAACCTTTTGGAGCCAAGAAACTGGAAACAAATGCTAGTCAACAAGGCCATGCATAGTTGTATAATGGTTTTTAAAGTTGTTGTGTGTATTTTTCTTAAGTTCTTTGATACAGAAGATAATGTATGACAGTCTTTAAAAGACACATGAAATCAACAAAACTCAGTTGTGATATTTGTGATCTTTGTATATTTAAATTTTTTTTATTGATTTGGGTAAAAATATCCATGATACTACAACTAGATGAGTTGTTTTACCAATATTCTCAGATTGTAGAGTAAGAAGGTTAGCTGATATGTCAGATATAACTTGATTTATTTTTTTACTTTTTACAAGATTTATAGAGGAGTTTTATATAAACTTTCAGATGAACACAGTCAAACTTGGATATTTTTAGGTTAAAAAGAAACTAAAGTATACATAGTACTGGTACAAACATACTTCATTATTTTGGATGTTTCTCATTGTATAGCTAGCCACAGAACGTAATGAAATAGGTGGCACATGGAAATGCTATGGAAGGCCGTTTAAAATTGTCTGTCTCATCAGTGTTTATATAACATTGTTCAAGTTGCCAGTATATTAATTTGGGGGGGCGGAGGAGCTATGCTAATTTTAGGAAAGCTAGTTAGGACTGAAGGATAATTGATATTGCTAATACACTGATCAGTCATAACATTAAAACCACTGACAAGCAAAGTGAAAACCATTGATTATATTGTAACAATGGAACCTGTGAAGAGGTGGGATATATGAGACATCAAGTGAATAATCTGTTTTTGAATTTCATGTGTTGGAAGCAGGAAGAATGAGCAAGAGAAAATCTGAGGGACTTTGACAAGGGCCAAATAGTGATGGGTAGATGACTGGGTAAATCATTCTCTAAAATGGTGAGTCTTGTGGAGTGGTCCCAGTGTGCAGTCAGTGGTACCTACCAAAAGTGGTTCAAGTAAGGACATCTCGTGAATTGCTATCAGGGTCATGGAGGCACAAGTCTCATTAATGCAATTGTGCAGTGAAGTCTGATCCAATCACACACAAGAGCTACTGTAGCTTATACTGCTGCAGAACGTATTGCTGGCCATGATAGAAAGGTGTAAGTGCACACTTTGCATCATGGTTTGCTGCATAGCTGCAGATCGGTCAGAGTGCTCATGATCACCCTTGCCCACTGCCAAAGGCACTTTCAATGGAGATGTTCATGTCAGAACTGGACCATGTAGCAAAGCTTGTCTGATCTGTAGTATCATGTCTTCTTTTAGGTGGATGGCTGGGTGCGGGTGTGTCATTTACCTGGGTAAGAAATGACAGCAGGATGCACTATTGGAAGAAAGTAGGCTGGCGGAGGTTGTGTTATTCTCTGGAAAACCTTGGGTCCTAGACTTCATGTGCATGTTACTTGATGCGTATCACCATTTAAACCTCTTCATGGCATTGGGGTTACCTGATAGCAATGGCCTCTTCCAGCAGAATACTGCACCCTGCCACACTGCAAAAAAATGTTCAGGAATGGTGAGGAACATGACAAAGAGTTCAAGGTGTAGCTGTGGTCTCCAAATTCCACAGATCGCTATCTGATTGAGTATCATGGGCTCGGCGGGAACATCAAATCTGATCCATGGAGGCTGCAGCTTGCAGGACTTAAAGAATATGCTGCTATGCCAAAAATCAGAGGATATGTTCAGAGGTTTTGTTGAGCCTATGCTTCGATGCATTTGAGCTGTTTTGGCAGTACAAGGGTGAAATGCATGATATTACGCAGGCAGTTTGAATGTTGTGGCTGATCAGTGTATATTTAAAATAGCAAATATTGTCTTTTTCCAGCTAAATTAAAGTAATACCACCAATAAGATTACCAACTCATACATTACAGTTTGTTATAGTAAAAAGTCGGCTTTAATACCCTGCTTGGTTTTCTTTCTTAAAAATTGGTATCATCCAATCTTTATCCGTGGCAGGTATATATGGAAAAGCAGAAGGGGATCCAAAAGCCTATTCTGTCCTCTTACGAATGGATATATGGCGGGATCCATCTGGGAGAGACACTGGAGATGGAATCAATAGTCATAAAGTACAATAGCCAGAGGGAAAGCAAAAATGCTGAAAGAAGTGGAAAGGTGTTGGAGATACAAATGAGATGTGAAAAAAAATGAAGGGAGCTGGAAAACATTATAAGATGTAAGTGAGAATATAACTGTCAGCAATTTAATAAAAAAAAAAAAATAAGCATTCATAAATGCACATTTTCATTTACACAAAAATACACCTCTCTATGTAAATACTGATGCTACATGCAAATCATTTAGTGCAGTTCCACAGGGCTGTTACACACAAATGTTTATAATGCAACATTCTGGCGTTTACAAACCTTGTCATGGCTGAAATACACCTTTGCCATATACAAAAATCTATTAAAAATAGATGGGTTTTTATAGTCTTGACATTGTGATTTTTCAGCTTTATATCTGGGACACTCTCTCCCCCTCCAAACTAATAACAAATAGGAAATATATACAGTTGTAATCCAAATTATACAACCCCCATTGCAAATCAGGTTTGTTGTGAAAATTTACAGACCTTCAGCTGTTTGCAATGAACAAATCAAACAAAAGCATTTGAAATGGCTCAACACAAATGCTTCAAGTGGTTTCCCCAAATTCAGCTGAAGATGCAAGTTATCATGACTTCTCCAGTCTCAAATGTTCAACTCCTTCATGGCAAGCATATTTAGTACTTAGTAGAGCACAATTGTGCTCCCTTTAACCAATTACTCATGAGCAATTGCCTCCAACTCAGTAATTTTCTTGGGTTTGTGTGGTGCAACTGCCTTCTTCAAATCCCACCAGAGATTTTCTGTGGGGTTCAAGGCAGGAGACTGTAATGGCTGAAGATTTTCCAGGACTTTTTCTGCAATCAAACCTTGGTGGAATTTGAGGTATTGTTGGTCATTGTCTTGTTGGAAGGTCCAGCAACGCACAAGCTCAAAGACAGCATAACGGTTTCTCCTAGGATCTCCTGCTACTTCAAAGAATCCATCTTGCCATCCCCACATTGTAGGATTCCAGGGCCAGAGGATGCAAAGAATCCCCAGAGCTTCAGCAAGACACCACCATCCTTAACTGTAGGCAGAGCATTCTTTTCAGCATATGCTTCATTCTTCTTCCTCCAGATATACTGGTGATCCATTGGACCGAAAAGTTCCAGTTTTGTTTCATTGCTCCACAGAACAGACTCCCAAGACGTCTGTGGCTTATATATAGGATTTTGAGAAATTGGGAGTTAGTAGAATTGGGTCAATAGCGGTGTACGGAGTTCTCACATGGCTAAAGTCAGGTTTTTTGCAGTCACTTGAGGGGTTTGTTTGTTTTATTTTATTTTATTTACAACCTGCCTTCTCAGAAATATGGTTGCAGCCATTGATATCACCTTTTTTCTGCCCCACCCAGGACAACACAACACTGTTCCATCAACTTTGAACTTGCGATTTATGCTTCCAAAGGTGTCTCTAGGAGCATTGTGTGCCTTCACTTTCTTTTTGTATCCTGTTACTTGATGACTACCTCTTCCATTCTACCATTCTTTATTTCTAACATGCACTCAAACATGACACTCAACAAACCCCTAGCCAGTTCAATTTTGCACGTGTTCCAGCTCAAGCACACTTGGTGCAACTAATGAAACCCTTGAGTGGTTGCATCAGGTGTGCTTGAGATAACATCTGCAAAATAAAACAATCAGTGTTTGCATTTGTCACTTTGTGTTTTTTGGGGAAACACTTTACATTATCAGTGTTTGTGGATCTTACCTCCATTGTATAATTTGTAAGAAGCACCTTTACACACTTCACTTGTATCTTTTTGAGACAACATCTGTTTTGCATATTTGTGCTGATGTGAGGGATTCTATTCAGGGGGCTGAATCTTTTTTAGACAGGAGAAGTCATTATAAGTTGCATTTCTAGTTGAATTTGGGGAAACCACTTGAAGCATTCGTTGTGTTGAGCTATTTCAATTGCTGGTGTTTGACAATAAACAGGATTTTCAATGGAGTTGAATAATTTTGTACAATTAACAACTGTAGCATGAGGAAAAAATGTCTGATGTAAAAGGTATTAGCAGTCTCCTTTGTCACTGAGTTTTCTACACACCAAGACAGCACAGTGCACAGCCCAGCTCAGAGTTCTGTGTAACTGCATACACAGATTTATGGGATGCAGGGCCAGACTGGGGATTCCAAAGCAGCCCTGGAAAAAAAAATCTATGCCAGCCCCATAAGTCATTGCGCCATATATTGTCGCATGTAATATGTAAGGCTGTGTCTTGCCACCCTAGATGATTGAGATATATATATATATATATATATATATATATATATATCTTTTTCCAATATAAAATATTGGTCCTTTCAGAGTAAAAATTTTAATTCTACAGAAAGCATACTCACATGCAGACACAGACAATCTCACTGACACAAGCTGATTGATACACAGCCTCATAGACAAACAGTCTCACTGATATACATAAGGTCATTGACATAAAAACACAAGCCCACTCACTAGCAGGCGCGCACACACACAGCTTAATGTAGTGGATCTGGTGTCTATAGCCTGTCCCTGCAGGCTTTTCAATGTAAACACTGACTTTTTAGAGAAAGGGCAGTGTTTACTCTGCTTCCTAGTGACAGACACTCAGACGGTCACTAGAGGTGCTTCCTGTGTCAGTGCGGATTGGCTGAGATCATCAAGCTTGATGATCTCAGTCGTAGAGGCAGGGCCAGTCGAGGGGAGACCAGCACGACGTGGGGGAAAAACATTCATACACACACACACATACCATGACAGACACACACCACATGACAAAGACAGACACACACACACCATAACACAGACAGACCATGACACAGACACACACACCATGACACACAGACACTCACACACCATGACACAGCGAGACCGTGACACAGACAGACACATTACATGACACACACACACACACACCATGACACAGACAGACCATGACACAGACACACATTGCATGACACAGACAGACAGACACACACACACACCCCATGACAAAGACACAGACAGAGACACACACACACACACCATGACAGAGACAAACTCACACTGACACACAATTTCTACCTGTGGGGAGCTCTGATCGCGGCCACAGGGGGCGCTGGCTGTTCTGGCGGCTGCAGAGGGAGCTCTTTAGGTGGCCGCAGGGAGAGCTGGCTGTTCTGTCTCTGCTCCCCCTCCCCAGCACACTGCTTAATGAGACCGGGGCCGGAATATGATGTCATATTCCGGCCCCAGTCTCATTAAGCAGTGCGCTGGGGAGGGGGAGCAGAGACAGAACAGCCAGCTCCCTCTGCGGCCGCAGGTGCCGACGGCCCACCCGGAAATTTCCCGGTATCCCGGTGGGCCAGTCCGGCACTGATGGGATGCTATACTTGTTCAGATAACACCTGTGAGGGGTGGAGACTACAGAAATGTCAAGGATAGCAAAGGTAAGTTTTTTGTTTTCTTACTGGGAACATGACCACTATAATAAACTGAAGTCGTTGTGGTGCTTAGTTTGTTTCATAGCAGATGCTAGTCTGTTCTCTGTTCAGCAATTGTATTACATCTAAGAATGGCAGCAATTTAGAGAAAATAATTGCTGCTAACTAGTCCAGTACTAACAGAGATAGATCTGTGAGAGGTTCTGTTAACCCCTTAAGGACCAAACTTCTGGAATAAAAGGGAATCATGACATGTCACACATGTCATGTGTCCTTAAGGGGTTAAACATCAACTGCTGCGTGCTTTGCATTAATCAGGATAAAATGCAGTTAATAAGCGTTAATAGACCTGTATCTAGTCAAATAATGGCCATTTGGATGACCCTGAAATAAATGTCTTTTCATTTATATATTTGTTGGTGACTTTATTTACACTTTTTTTTTTACACCTATGTGTATGTGATTTTAAAGAGGACTTGTCATTAACCTCCATGAAGCAGCAATATCACCTATAGAGGTAGTTCCTGACTTTACAAACTAATTGGTTCCAAAGCTTAGTTCAAAAAGTGAGAACGAATTTCTCATAGACAAAATGTAATAAACATGGGTTCCATTCCTGACCCAAAACTTTTTCCATTTAAAACTTAAATTATTAAGTACAAATACAAAATGAAAGCATAGCAAATATACATATATGTTGTAAGAACATTAAAGGAATACTTACCATATTGAAATCTTCATCAAATCATCATCAGTCATCTTCCTCCTCAATGACATGTTGCACTTGTTTCTGGTTCGTTTGAGATGCTCCATTCTCATTCACTACCTCCATGTGTCTCATTCCCCCCTCCCAGCCCCTCAATGTGTCTCATTACCCCCTCCTAGTCCCATCCATATATCCCATTCCCACCTCCTAGCCCCCCATGTGTCTCTCTTCCCTCCCCTCCTGTACCTGGTCATGTATCTCCCCCCTCCCGTCCCGTACCTGCTCATAACGGTACAGTACTCAGTCTGACAGGAAGTGCTCCCTCAGTGAGCACTTGCTGGCAGACTGCAGTCCGCTTGGTTACATTACAACAGCGGCAGGAGAGGAGCAGTACAGTGCTTTCCTCCTACTGGTCATCATGATTTTTTACACTTACCTTTCTCTTCGAAGACAAAACAAAACCGAGCATGCAGGTTCACCACAAGGGAACATACAATGCTTCCTGGAGATATAGATAGTTGTATTGCTAAATATAAAGTAATTAACCTGTAGCGAAGTAAATGTCCTCTGAGATTCTGCAGTACAGTATTAAAGGAAAAAATAAATACAATACACTACAACAAACAACTTGTACGGTAAATCTCGTATCTCAAAATAAGTATTGAACAAAGTCTCACACGGCTGGTATGCAAATAAAAAGGAGCTTTATTAAATATGGCTCTACATACAAACACATGTCAGCCCCTGTGAGAAAAATTCAGCTTACATAGCACCAAATGGACCTAAGAGTCAAGGTAATGTCAGCCTGTATGAGGCATGAAGGGTTATTTAAATGAGTCAAATAAAGCCTGTTGGGTGACCAGGTGGCCAAATAGGTATATATACACAATATAGCCAAGTAGAGAAAGATGAAAAATACTATTTGCAGTAAAAGACTGGCAAAAAGTTAAACTTTAGAAAAGTTATCAAAGCCTCTCTCCCTGTTAAGCTTGCTAGACAGACATAGGAGGTAAGATCAGAAGTAAAAATCAAAGTAAGTGAACCATCAAAGCAACATGCTAACCATTAGTGAAAAATAAAGTGCCCAGTGATAAAACAAAATGCAAGAACGCCCGACGTTCCCCACATTTGCCATATACACACCCCCTCATTAAAGTACAGCCTGACTATTGGCTGATACCCAGGGCTCCCACGTGGGATACTGGTATATAACAGAGATCACTGCCATTCTATTGTTTTCCCCTGATGAGGGTGCATGTAGTTCTGCACCGAAACACGCGGCGGACATTCTTGCTTTTTGTTTTATTACTGGGCAAGGTGTTTATTGTAGTGTATTGTGTTTATTTTTTCTTCTAACCCCTTAAGGATGCTGGACGAAAATTTTCCGTAATTGCAGCACTCCCCTTAAGGACGCTGGACGAACATTTTTCGTCCAAAATTAAAATTAATCCTTGATTGCCACAATCGTGGGGTTAATCTTCCTGTAGTGTGTCTCCATATCGGAGGCACACTAGCATGGGCAGTTTCACTGATTCAGCCCATGTGATCGCTCTGACCGGGAGTCAGAGCGATCACACATGCTGCAGTGAAACCAGTGGCGGATCCGGGGGGGCAGTAAGCCCCCCGAGGCTCTCCCCTGCCGGTTTATGCAGGGCTGGCATTGTCCAAGTGCCAGTCCTGCAATGTGCCTGTGGACCGGGGAGGGAGATCAGAGCTCTCCCTCCCCTGCTTGCTGCCAGCACGGTGCCTGCGGACCGAGGAGGGAGAGCTCTGATCTCTGCTCTCCCTCCCCAGTCTGCAGGCACATTGCAGGGCTGGCACTTGGAGAATGCCAGCCCTGCATTAGCCAGCAGGGGAGAGCTTCGGGGGGGCAATTGCCCCGTTGCCCTCCCCCTGGATACGCCACTGGTTTCACTGCAACACGTGTGATCGGGAGAGAGGACCCAGGAGCTCAGCTTGCAGCTCCTCCGGGTCCTCCTCTCGCGAGCATGGACCGTTGCCGCGGTTACCACGGCAACGCTCCAAATCTCGCGAGAGTGAACTCTAGCCCTGAAACACGGCTAGAGTTCACCTCACCACTGGGACCACCAGGGAATCCCCACCGAACCACCAGGGATCCAGAAACGATTTTTAATTTAACAAATGTTTTTAAAAAGGGGGAAATGCTTATTACCTCTACACTTGGTACAGGCTAGCGAAAAAATGATACCACGCTAAGGTTTCAAATATGCCTTTTGAAACACCCTGGGGTGTCTTCTTTAGGAAAACACAACCTATTAAAAAAAATTATTTCACGCTAAGGTTAAACATACGTCTTTTGAAATACCCTAGGGTGTCTTCTTTAAAAAATGGTATGCCTTTATGGGGTAACTGGAATAATTAACCTACAAAAAAAAAAACCTCTAAAGTGGGGTATGGACACATCGTAAAAATGTAAAGTTTGAAAAAACTTAAATGGCTGTGTCTCAAATGTGCCCCTTCAATGTCCGCATATACCTGGCAAAGGTACATATGAGGGTATTGCTGTGCTCAGACGACATAGCTGAGCAAGATAGGAAGTATTATATAGCCGTAGCACACATAAGATTTGCATAATATACAATACAAACTCACTATGTGTGTCAAAATAGCAGAAAAATGCTTATTACCACTACACTTGGTACAAGCTAGCGGAAAATTTACTTCACGCTAAGGTTCAAAATGTAAATTCACACTTAAAAACCTGAACTTATCACGTCTCTTTCACAGCACTGTAACTTCACAAAATAGTGTCTGAGTCATACATTGGGCATATTGTTTTACTAAGAAGAGGTAACTGAGCATACTTAGGGGGAATTTATGACAGTGGCACTTATCAAATGTAAGAAATACCCAGAGAAAATGCAACATGTATGTAAAAAAATTTAATTTTTTTTTTCTCACCACAAAATTTTAAATAAATTGGTGAAAAAATGGTGGCAAATTAAGGTATAATATATGCCTAATAACATACCCTGGAGTGTCTGCTTTTTTAAATGGAAGGCCTTTGTGGGGTTATTTGAACAGTCAAATGTCTATAATGCCACAAAATAAGACATATGACCATCTATGAAAATTTCAACTATAGAAACTGAAATAGCATGGTCTCCTATATGGCATTGTAGCTTCACAGAATAGGGGCAAAGGTATACAATGGGGGTATTGTTGTACTCACCAGATGTAGCTGAACACAATATGGGGTTCTGTACAGGGATAGCACACACTAGGTTTACGAAATACACATTACAAAAACCTTGTTATATGTGTATATGCCAAAATAGAGAAAAAACTAAACTTTACTCCAATATTTAGCAGATATTGACAGTGAAATGGCTACGCAAAAAGTGTCAGACTAAACTTAGGTAAATAGCTTGTGATGTCTACTGTATATAAATATATACTTTTGTGTGGCAATTTTGTTTTCTGTGATGGGTATTAAACTTCCAAGACAAACATACCAACTTCTAAAATTGTTTCACATTGAAATTTTATTTTAGACCTTGTAGTTTGTGACCTGTAACTTTCAAAATAAACTGAAATCCTACACATAAATGAATTGATTTTGAATTACTTTTCCTAAGCTGGACATATTATGCACACATTATTATTGCCAAAACTTGGGGGGGGGGAAAGCATTTTTTTGTATTTTTCCACATTATTTTGCATTTTTTTTGTAGTAAATGAGAATTTATATATGTCACATCAAATTAAAGCACTTTTTGTTGTCTAAAAAACGGTATATTATATGTGTTGGTACAATAAATGAGAGAGATGCAAATTGCAGTTGAACACAAACAGCAAAAAATGCAAAAATTGCTTGTGTCCTTAAGGGTATGTCCAGCTTCCTTAATGGGTTAATACAGTACTGCAGAATCTCAGAGGACATTTACTTCGCAACAGGTTAATTACTTTATATTTAGCAATACTACTATCTATATCTCAAGGAAGCATTGTATGTTCCCTTGTGGTGAACCTGCAAGCTCTGTTTTGTTTTGTCTTTCTTGATTAACTAGGGTTATGCCCTGAGAGACCCCTGGAGTCTCTCTTTGGTGCCTAGGAGCATTGGGAACACTTGGAGACATTTCACTTAGAATTGTGTTTATAGTTGTTTTCCTTTGGTATCCTATCTCAATACTTTTTACCTTTCTCTTCTCCTGGCCACAAACTCTGCTCCTCAGTCCACATCCACGGGGAGCCAAAACAAAATGGCGGCACGTCTGGAAAGATTTTGTAAAGGGTGAACATTGTAAAGCGGGAGTACGTAAACCGGAAAATGCATGTAATTACTTTACTTTAATTTCTTCCTGTTCTCTTCCTTACTCCTTTTCTTTTCTACTTTTCCAATCTATTTCTCCTAAAATAAATAAGGCAAAGGACTATGTTGCTGTATGTACTTTTCCTTTGCTTGACAAAAGGCAGACCTACCTTTGTTTTTCAGATCCCCCAGCTAGATCACAAGACAATATCTATGGAGGCTGTTGCGGGATTCGCCATAGACCTCCATGTTGTACTCTTGTGCATGTGTGAACGTATTGCACTGACGTGCACCTGGCAGATAAAAAACCAGGAGGTCAAGAGGATCCAATGGCTGGAGATGGCCACAGCTGCAAAGGACAAAGGACTTACCTTCCCCTGCACCCTGTGGACACCAAGTGACTTAGTCACTATCAGAGATCTTTGCAGATGATGCTTTAAAAAGATATAGTCCCCCGGACCACTTGCTTCATCTTAATTGTGTTATCTGGGTGCAATCAGGGCCAGCATTAGGTCTTCAGGTGCCCTGTGCAAGCCAATCTTGTGGAGCACCGGCCACTACATTAATTAAACGGATCTTTCCCTGTGAAAGCGGAGCATGTTGACATCACGCCCCACGCTCCTGACCTCTTCATCATCCATAAGTGGATACCCGGTGTAACTGGACGTGGCTCTCCCTTCATAATTTACAAGTCAAGTGCACAGCAGCACTTGACATGCTCTGCATTTTGAACACCTAACTCGGGCCGATTTGTGAGTGACTGACTGCGAGCTGTGTCGGCCGCACGGCACGCACACCCCAAAGACCTGCACTGGGTGCAATGGCTCTGACCTTTTAACCTTGCAATGTAAAACACTGCAGTTTATTATTAATATTTTTTTAAACAGCAGTGTTTATATTGCAGGGTTAAATTCGTCTCTAGAAGTGCGCTTGCAGAACTGACTGAGTTAAACTCACATGGAAACCCATCGGAAAGCACAGAGTACAATGGATGTACAACGGAGTTCACCGCGCATGCGCATCATGCTCCCACACTGGAGTACGTCATGCCTCTTTCTAGATGTTACAGGAGGTGGCGAGGTGAGCAACACTGAGAGCCAAGGAGCTGTTAAAGGTCAGTAAATTCTTTCATTTTTATTACACATGGGTTTGGGTGGGTTGGGACCTATAAAGATTTAGGAACAGGGGCACCATAAACCCTTAAAGGTATACAGACCTGTATTCCTAATGCTATGGTGTTCTTTTAAGGATCCCAATCTTGTTTCGAAATACCCTATACAACGTGCTACTTATTTCACATTTGCATTAGGTCAAAATTAGGTTAGGAAATAATAATTACAAATGGAAACTATTTACCAAGCCCATAGGGGCATTAACATTAGCTCCCAAATAAATAGAATTAGTTACATCACACTCTGCCCAGAAACCACACTTCATATTGGATTATTGTATGATGCAACTGTTGTGAAAGTAGTCAGTGAGGTGATTGATTTGTCTTTGCTTTTGTTAAAGGAACACTATTTTGTTGGGAATACAAACATGTAGTACACTTTAGTTCTAAATGCACTGTTTAGGTGGCCAGCATTCCTTACCCCCCTATAAAAAAGATATTACTCACATTTTTACCAGCGCCGCTTTGGCTATGATGCGGCTTAGCACTGCCTTGCTCCTCTTCTTTGGCAGAGATCATTAAATTTGATGATCTCAGCCAATCCAGTGCTTTGCACATAGGAATATTGAATATGAATCAATACAATACTGAATCAATGCATCTCTATGGGGAGCATTCAGCATCTCCATGCAGAGCGTGGAGACTGAACACAAGCCCTGCACATTGTGCAGAACAGTCATTCCTTACTCTTTACCCTAGGCTTATAAATCATCTATTACCTTTTACCTTCCCATTGTATTTGTATACATTTAAAATATTGCCAATGCCATTTAAATAAGAAGTCAATGAAATTATAGCAACGCTGCCATGATGTGTTCATAAGAACAAAGCAACATTACAATCCTATTACCAACTGTGCTCATTGTTAAAAGGGAGCTTGCACAAGGGTCAGGTTTATGGCAGATATTTGGGATAGATGACGTATAATGTAATGCTGGTTATGCTTGGGGGTTTAAGGTTAGTAGTACCGACCAATATTTTTGGGATTGCAACTCTAGACATTCTCAGCCAAAGAATTTCAGTCCATCTCTTTCATAGTGCCATTAATTGAAGGGGTATCAACTCTGCCAACATCACACTCAAAATGCTTGCTGTACGGTCCAAAGCTCTTCTGACCTGACATGTGACACTGTTGATATGCTTTTGTGATAAAACCCCACAAATTACATTCATCTACCAGTAAATCAAATACAACAGGCCATCGTAAGTGAAATCAGATTATGATAGTGTACTCTGTGTGTAACAAAGCTGTTCTGGATTCTCAATAGTTTGTTTGTTGAGATAATCTGAAAACTGGCAACTCAACTCTTCTGTGTGTACACTGGCTGGTGTTCAAATAAAAAAAAAAAAGCTATGATAAAAAAATCTTAAAAGTAACTTTACACTGCAGTTTTTTTCTGAAGCTGCAGGTGATGAAACAAGTTTTCTGTGACCACATACCGTGATCCGCATTTCCTTTTCTGTTTATCGTCAGAAAAACAATTAAACTAACAGGTGCTACAAAATGTACTTTACATGGGAGTTGTAGTTCAGCAACATCTGGGGGGCCGCAGGTTGGACAGCCCTGATTTAGACAATAAGCCATGTCAAAAATTGCACTTATATAGTGGATAGTAAAAACCCTGCCTTCTGATTAAATTGACTAAATTCTCTTTTGGAAAATGATATTCTGGGACAGGTATTCCTGTAAGGCAAAATTAACAAATATAAATAAATAAAAACATACTACTTGGGTTATATAGTGCTAAAAACTGTCCACCCCTACATTGTGTACTGAATCGAGTCCCATCTTAAAAGAACATGTATCACTTTGAGCCAGCTGTCTCACCGAAAAGCTTTAGATTTGAATGAGACAGTTGTTATTTCATTCTAAAAACGTTTTCTTCCTATTTACCAGCTTCTCATTTCTGGTGCTTTTAATGCCCACTAATCTTATCAAATTGGTGTCCAATCCCTAGAACGCTGGAGAAGCACACACATTAACTAAAGTTTCCCTCTTACAAGTACTACATTCAACCCCATCTCACCAAATCAAATCATGCTAAGGATGGTCAACTTTATTCTTTGTCCGTGTGCAAACTTTGACAGCATTTCAACATGATAGGGATCTTTGTCAGACTTGACAAAAATCCTTGTGAAATAAAAGCATCTTGCTATTGGCTTTTGAGAACTCTGTTGTGCTCAGTGTTATAAATTTACTTATT